GTACGGAATCTGCTTTGCACGTGGCTGACCCGGGTTTGATCACCAGCTTCCCATATGGTCCCCTGAGCACTGCCAGAAGTAATTCCAGAGTGCAGAGCCGGGAGTTACCCCTGAGCATCACTGGATCTGACTCAAAAAGCAAAAAGAAAAAGTGGGTTAAGGGATGTGTCCGCTGGTGGGGGTGGGGGAAGGGGGACCTGCTCCCCCATGGGCAGTTGGCATAAGCACCCAGCAAGGAGGGATGTCTGGCTTTCGGCCACATCTGCTCTTCCTCTAAAGATTTCTAAAATGTCTATTGTTCCTCAGAGGGTTTTTCCCCCTCTGTAATTAATTACTATGTGGTTGAGAAGAGCCACAGACTAGCAGAACAGAATGAGTGGTGAGACATATGAAAACAATTAGCAAAGAAGTCCAATCACATGAAAGCTATAATTCAGTGTTGTGTGTGTTTAAGTTTACCTCTCCAAAGGGAAACACCAAGTCAAAGAATGCCAAGTCCTGTGGTATTTTGACTCAGGGGAAGTGAATCTTGGTTCTTATTTTATCCTCTTAATAACTGAAATCTTGGCTCCTTTGGCAGAGGCTTCTACTTTGGGGACGGGGATGAGGGTTCATTAAGTTAACTTATCATAAAACAGAAGACAAAGTCCTTCTATATACATTTATTTTTACTTCAGTGGAAACTAATAAATATTAACCTCTGTGCATTTATTAAGGGATCCTAGTTCTGTCCCTTGATGCTCACATACCTCTTAATATATGGGCTGATAAGAAGCTTGGGACTCTTTGGCATCTAAATGCATGTGATAGTGGGGTAACCTAAACCTTTGCACCTTTATATATACTGTGTAAAAATAATACGAGATGTTTGAGACCATGTGGAGAGGAAGAGTAACAAAATACAGTCTACAGAACCAGGTCTTTTCCCTGCCTGCCCCCCTCCAAGTCTCTCCACTCACTCAACTGGCCAAACCTAAACTTTCCCTGCCAGAAATGGACCCAAGGAAGTACCCTGGACCTTTTGTTTCACCTAAAGGTCTGATCAGGAAAATTCATCTGGGTGTCCAACACAGGAGACCTAGGGAACTGCTGTTTTTACAAGATCAGCCTAGATAATGGCATCATTTTTTACATTCTCCAGACCTGAAAAATCCTTTTCTTCTTCATGATAAGGTTTTCATTCCAGTCAAGCTACTCGCTGCCACATTAAAAGAGGGACCCCACATGGGGATAAATTTAGATGAGTCTCTGTTGTGGGCTGCAGAAATTTAAGTGACAGAGACACAAGCATGGTGGGTGAGTGGCATGTATAAAGGTTTAAGGAGAAAAAGAACAGCTGAGAAATCTAACAAATGCATTCTGGGCCTTTGGAACAACTGTTGCCATGAGGGACTGTCTCCAGGAAAACTGTCCTAAGGCCACTTCAGAGTGATATGACAGAGGATCTAAGGTTTGAAGATATTAACTCCACTGCAGTTTTCTGCTTACTAGAGTTAATTTGGATAAAATGTGTAAAAATTAAGCCAGATAACAGGAAACGTGGACATGAGACAAAAATGCCATTGAAACATAATAGTCATCAATCAAAATGATACTGTAAACTAAGCACGATTTAAAATTTGTACACGAAATGAAAGTTGTTCTAAAGATTCCAGGGTTTCATTACAAGTGGAACACCATGGGAAATGGCACACTCACAAGATTCTCAGCCTGTCACCAATTTCCTATTTCTCTGTAGTACCTAGATTATGCTAACACGTGCTGCATTAGCTTAATATAGTTTCCTATTCATCTCTTGTGGATTCTCTAAAGAGGATAAGGAACTAAGACAGGATCCAGCAATACCACTTCTGGGTATTGGTCAAAAGAATTGAAATCAGGATCCCGAATACATACCTGCACTGCTATACCATTCAGAAGAGCCAAGAAATGGGAAAATGAAGTGTCTGAATGGATAAGGAAGACCAGGCACATACATATGGTGGAATATGATTCAGCCTTTAAAAAGAAGGAGCCCTTGCTTCTGACAGCATGGATGGGGATGATGGACATTTGCTCAGGGCAATAAGCTCATCACAGAGGAAATTTATACTTAGTTCAGATTACCAGGTGTAATGAGAAGGTCAAACACAGAGAATCAAAGAATGGTGTGGTAGTCTCTAGGAACTAGGGAAGAAGGTGCAGGGGAGCTGCTAATCAATGGGTAGGACGTTTTTATATAGATGAGCAGAGTGAATGAATGAATGAATGAAAGTAATCAGGAAGATAACACTGAAGCTGTAATTATCATCACTATACTGCACCATTAAAAATTTGTTCAGAAGCAAATCTCATGGTGTGTGTGTGTGTGTGTGTGTGTGTGTGTGTGTGTGTGTCTTTTAAATTGAATCACCGCAAGCTACACTTACAAAGCTTTCATGTTTGAGTTTCAGTCATACAATGATAGAACACCCATCCTTCCACCAGTGCGTATTTTCCACCACCAATATCCCCAGTATCCCTAACCATGCACCCCCAGTACTATCCCTTGCCCGCCTCTATGCCAGACAGTTTCCCTCTTTCTCTCTCTACTTAAGGGCACTATAGTTTGCAATACATCTTTAGTAAATTTTAGCGAAAAATAACATGAGCTAAAAACAAAGATAGGGGTTAGAGAGATATAACAATGGTTACAGTGCTTGCCTTATATGTGGCCTAACCAGGTTTGATTCCCACAATCCCATATGGTTCCCTGAGCACTTCCAGGAGTGATCCCTGAACACAGAGCCAAAAGTAAGCCCTGCACAGCCTGGATGTGGCCCCCAAACATAAAGTGGCCAAAAAATTTTTGAGGGTCAACTTATCATAAGTTTCTGTTGGTGAGATAAATTTTGGTGAGAGAATGACCTGTGATTTTCTTAGATGCAAAATGAACCAGCTCCTCCAAACACAACCAAATCTGTAGAACTCCAGTTCACTGTGACTTCAGTTGCCAAAAGCGTCCCTTTCCACGTAATTCGAAGCCATCAGGCCTGCATACTAGGCCTTTGTCACGAATCCCTTCTTTGTTTCTTAACCAATATACTTTAGAAAAATAATAAACCCAATCTCAACACAAGACTCCCTTGGGACGAGGGAAGTAAGTAGACTTTTGTAAACCAGCCACTTTTTCTACAGAAAAGGCTTCTCATTTCAAAGGCACTGTTTCCGAGTGGCATGTAAAGAATGAGCCATTTAGGATTAGTGAAAATGAACACGCCAGCAACAACTGAAAGCAACATATTATTTCTAGGTAAATTCTAACAAATAACTGATCACACATCCTTGACAAGGACAAGGCCTAATCAAGCTGCTCGCAGCTCACTCTTCACTGCTGTTTCAATCATCAAGTACTCTGCAGAGGCATGCCTTCAGGCTCAAACAATGAGCTAGTCCTTCTTTGCTTGGAGTCAGGAACGGTGATGCAATGGGAAAAGCAGGAAGTGGGAAAACAGGATGGAAACATCAACTTGCCAAACCAATTCCACACTCTGGGCATGCACAAAGCCAGCTGGGCCAGCCTAGACCGGCAGAGCTAACCTGGCAAAACGCTGCGCTGCTGGCCGGACCCTGATTCCCGCTTCCTCCAGCCTTCTGCGCTTTCGGGTTTCAACAGCATCTTTCTCTTCTGCCCGGGGAGCAGAAGGTTCTGGGGAAGCCCCCTCTGCAGGAAGCTGCTCCTTACCCCTGCAGGTGGGTGATTCTAACCCGCACTCAGGAGCCTTCCCAACAGGATCCTCTGGGTCGACTGCATCCTCTTCATAAGGAGAACCCACTTCACTTCCCTCTTCCTCTATTGTTTCAGGGTAGCTGGTGAGTTGGACAACAGTGTTCACCAAACCATCAGTGTGGATGGAATAGGGGGGGATCAGAGCACAGGCCTTCACCCGGTCATACCTCCCCCCGGAAAATAACCCATAGCCTGCAAGACGATTCAGGTAACAAGACGAAAATGAAATACAGCCAGTTGATATTTATGCGTCTATGTCATCACTGATATTAAAAGATAAAAACTTTGTCAGTGAAGGCAGAGAAACCCCATGTTTAGGCAATAATGAAAAGTGAACAAAATATTCAGGGGAAAATCATAGCTAATGAAGATGGACGATTAGAAACAGCCACATACCCACCTGGAGTGATTAGACCTATACATTTCTTTCATTGGCCTGAAAGGTCTGGGAAAGCAGCATCCTTATTGTACTGAATATTGGGCCCCTACTGTCCAAGATTCAGTACGTAGCTTCTAGTAGATGCTCAATAAATGAACAAATAAATATAAAGACATAATCATAGATAAGGGGGAAGGGAGTAGAAGCATAATTTGGGTCAATTAATTTGGGCTGTTTCACACATTGTTGAGAGGTACGTTTTAAGCCCCCCTTTACATGCTTGAGCTCATTCCCAGATAAATTCCCAACTGGACAAGTTAAGTCTTCGCACAAGGTGAGGTATCTCTTTGCCCCTAAACAAGCAGGCACAGGAGTCCCCACTGAAGCATAGTTCTGCTCTCCACTTCCTGGTTTTATATCTGCTGCTTACCCATAGCTCATAAATTGAACCAAGGATACACCTTCTGCTCTGTGTACACTAACAAAATGTCCTGCAGTGACCCTTCTTCTCCCTCTGTTATCACAAATGGCAAAGCCAATGAAATACATCTCCTTTCTCTACTCATGTGTGCTACACGTTGGCTTTCCAGCTCTGCTTTCATTGTTATCACTCAGAGAACAGTCATGAAAGCAGAAGCAGATGTCAGAACCTGTAGAACAATTCACGAACGTTTTTTAAGTTGGAAAAAATGGATGGAGGAAATTCCCAAGAGTCAGCTTTACCTGCTAATGAGACGAGCATTTGTGAAATCTCACTTAGACTCTGGCGGGAGCAACTGTCTCCTGAATCCTGTCCCGCCCACCCTGAACTGTCCTCTCACCACTACATTCTGCAGTGGGGACTAGCACCCCACCCCAGCTCTCAGACCTCACCTGAAGGGCCTCTCCCCACCCAGGGGGGAGGTAGCAGTACTCCAGCTCTTGCGATACTCCTCTCGCTCGGCCTTCTTCTTTCTCAGGGGTGCGGGGACATAGGCCGTCTGGTTGCTCTTGTTCGGGAGGTACTGGTTAAAAGGCACAGCTGATTTCGGCTCACCATGAGATGTCCGTCTTGCAGACATGTCATCTTTCTTCACATCTGGCAGCTTCCGATGAGGCAAGTCAGATTCCGAGTCACTGCCTCTCCCTGGGAAGAAGGGGATGGATGCTGAGTGTGGGTGCTGGGCTGAGTTAGCAGAACAGCTCCCTGTGGTAAGCCAGGAGCACTTGGGAGAGGCTTACATCTGCGAGTTCTGGGGATTTCTTCTACTCATTTAATACATCTCGAATATATTTACATAAGTCTCTGGGAAAAACTCAATATGAATCAGGGAAAATAGGAAAAGTCAGATTTAAAAAATAGAGGTAAGCCTAACTCTGAGGATTATAGTTAGCAACACATCCGTCATCAAACTAGACCTTGACTGTGACTAGATAAGTACACACATGAAAAAAAACTCTAATTCTTATCTACACCCAAAAGTTAGACAATTTTAATAGATAAATGTGTGCATGTGAGGAATATAGGCATATAAAAATAATATGGGTTTAGAAAAATGGCTGACTTAGATTATACTAGAAATTTGGCTTCCAGGAAGTGGTCTGAGCTATAGTTAACACATATTACTCGATAGGGGTAAGAGAATCTTCTCTTCTGCTCTTCCTGTGACCCAATGAGCTGTTTCTTTTTTCTTCTGGCCCATGATATTTTCTGTCTTGTGTTTGGAGAACAAGGACTTTCTATGACATGTTTTAGAAAATGCAAAGAAGTTCCATCCTGTAAACCTCAGTCTTTGTTAGGGAATAATTTCAATAATTAGATTGTATTCTGGTTTCCTGAGCCTCATCGCTATAGAGTTCTAAGATCTATTTTGTGTGAAGTTGTATTTAAAACACTATCATTACAGGTAGTACTTACTTTAATGTTTGGTGAAAAAAAAATGGTGTGTGTGTGTGTGTGTGTGTGTGTGTGTGTGTGTGTGTGGTATAAGGAGGAAGGAGAGTGGGACTGAACCCAGAACTTCACACATGCATGGCGAGTCTCTACTGCTAAGCTACAACCCTGGCCCACTACTGGTTGAAAACTCATAATCAATCAGAGTGCTGTGAGATTACTAAACTCTATTAATAGCAACTGGAAATTGACCAGTGTCCACTTAAGAAAAGAGCCTTCAACCAAATCAGAGATGGCAGCTCCTCAGGGCAGGTAGGACGCAGGATTAAGTCAGATCCTTTAGAGCTCTTGACAGTAGTAATGAGACTTTGCATGTGTTATATCACCATCAAGGCTCATTTTCCTTGTACGTCAAAGAAAGATAATAACACCTACTTCCTCGGAAGTTGAGAAGATCCAATATGAAGATCCAATATGAAATGAATGGTTTGGAGGAAGTGCTTACTAATTGCTAACTCCTCTCTATGTCCTCATAGTTCTGGATCTGTGTATAATAAGCTGTGGGTTCCTAGGATTGTTTATAACACTTGCCTGTCCTTTTCTGTAAAGATAAGAACAAAGTTATTTGTCCCAGAGATTAAATGGTTTAATAACTTTTCAAAGACTGCAAAAGTTAAAAAACTTTTCAAAGACTGTAAAAGTTAATGATCATAAGCTATTAATTATTTCAGGTGACATATACAGCTTATGAATTATTTACGTTCCTGGGTCCCTTCAGAAGTTTTGACCATTTCACTGTTTGTCAGTTTGTGCTTTGTAAATCAGGTCCTTTCCTTACCTGTCCCTTACCAAGATGTCTCAGTGACTGACTTGCTTTATAAACACTCTTTCACAGCACCTTACCATACTCTCTAGATATGCTCGGGGGACCATATGGTGTGCTCAGGAATCACACCTGGTGGCATTCAGGGGACATTAATGATGCTGAGGATTGAACCTGGGTCTGATGCATGCAAGGCAAATGCCCTAACTGCTGTGCTATCTCTCTGGACCTGACATGATTTCTATTGCATAAACATTAAAACAGCCTCAGTGAGGCAAAAAGAACTCCTTTTTCATGCTGATTAGACAGCTATGTGACTTTAATTTCTGTTCCCTAGACCATGAGCACAGAGTTCCTTCTTAGAAAATGTTTGCTTAAATCATCCTTAAATGAGGAGAAGCACTGTAGTTGTTGAATGAATAAATGAACAAATGAAAATCTTTCTTCTATCAATTATGGAAGCTTAATAATAAACTAGAGTTGTCTCGTGCCCTCAGCTTTAAAATCCTATAATCTACAAGCCTCGTGTACAGTACCTAAAAATATATTATCTATAATCTACAGAGTGAAGGTCTCAAACCGTGTTGTTTCATACAGAAGCAGATCACCACCACCCTTCTTCTCCCTACCCCAATAACCCTGGATAAATCCTGCATATCAAGGAAAGTTGATTTGCAAATAGTAATGTAACTATGGATTGAAAGATAAGGTCTAATTTTAGCTCCATCTTCTGCTAGCCATGCGACTCTGGAAAATGTAAACCTATGTAACTCTGGGTCCCCATGGCCAACAGAGATGAAGTACAGCTCTCCTGAGGAGTTACTGAGCAGGTGGAGTGGATCTAGAAGGGCTTGCTCGGCACACTCTGGGTAAGTGCTGAAGCTCCTCTCATCTACAGTTGGGGCTTCTAATGCTCTTGACTTCACGTAATCCTGAGAACATGGAAAGATACTCAGGTGACTCCTCTTCTTGCATTCCCTAATAGGAAAGTGCAACATGACAGTATTTTATTAAATTCAAACCCCATTTCCACACTGGGGCTACCTTTCTCTCTCCTGTAGTTTCTAGAAGTCTTTACTCCTTTTTACTTATATTTGCTACAGAGACCCTTAATTCTTTGCTTTTTTAATGCTCCTCTCTCACTTTTTGGTTGTTTGTTTGCATTTTCAATTTTTTTTTATTTGGATCAGACCTGGCTATGCTCAGGACTTACTCCTGGCTCTGTGCTCAGGTATCACTTCTGGTTCAGAGACTATTTGGGATGAGAGGGATTAAACCCAGGTCAGCCAAGTGCAAAATAAATTTATGCACCCACTGTTACTACTCTGGTCCCTCTCTGGCTTTCTTTCTATTTTTTTATTTTTTGGGTCACACTCAGTGATGCTCAGGAGTTACTCCTGGCTCATGCACTCAGGAATTACTCCTGGTGATGCTCAGGGGACCATATGGGATGCTGGGAATCGAACCCAGGTCGGCCACGTGCAAGGCAAACACCCTGTCCGCTGTGCTACTGCTTCAGCCCTTCTCTTGCTTTATTTCTTTGATCTCTTATTTCTCTCTCTTAACTCATCTTTTATGTAAAAAAGTATCTCTTTAATAAAATTCACATTATTTATAAAACATGATCTTAAGTTTCAAAGCACCAGGATGAAAGGTCTTGGTTTTCTTATGCCCAGTAAATCACCTCAGAAAGTGCACTGGTGGAAGGAAGGAATTGTTCATCCAACCAGAAAAACAGATGAGCTGAAAATTTCCCATAGCATCCATCTTAAGTAGCTCTCTCGTCCAACTTCTACTGGATCTAGAAGCCACCCCTTCGGGATACACTCTGCCTGCTCAGTAACTTCTCAGGAGAGCTATACTTCATCTATGTTGGCCATGGGGACCCAAAGTTACATAGGTTTACATTTTCCAGAGTAGCATGGCTAGTAGAAGATGGAGCTAAAATTAGACCATGCCTCCCAATCCAGAGTTACTACTCTTCTTCAGAGTGACACTGTCTCTACTAAATGGCTAATGGGCTTCAATCGTCATCAAGGGAAAGCTGGATAATTTTACCATGAGACTCCCCAATTGATTGATTCTGAATCTAAGGAAATATATAGTCAAGACTTGTTTTCTTAATAAAGTTCTTCTAAATTTCAAGGTGATTATTAGAATGAGCAATTGTCTTGATTAACATTCTTTTAAAAATATACCATAAGCTGGGGGCTGGAGCAATAGCACAGCAGGTAGGACCTTTGCCTTGCACGAGGTCAACCCAGGTTTGATTCCCAGCATCCCAGATGGTCCCCTGAGCACCGCCAGGGGTAATTCCTGAATGCAGAGCCCAGAATAACCCCTGTGCATTGCCAGGTGTGACCCAAAAAGCCAAAAAAGTACCATAAACTATTGCAACCCAACAACTATTTGAATAAAATTATACTACATATTTTAGGTAGATAAAAACATGTTGATTTTTTGTACAAACCTCATTAGGTCTTGATTAGTTTACCAGAATATAAACCTGAGGATTCAGGCTGATTGGTGAAATTTGTGTGTGAAACACTCGCTCATGTATGGTGCTTTATGAAGCTCAATTTTATGTTATTCTTTAGATGGAAAAACATTTATAAAAAAATACTTTAGTTTACCAATCTTAATTGCTGCAAACTAAACTATGTCTTGGCATACAGTATTAGTACTCATCATCTCAAATCCCTTCAAGAAATGGTCCATTACAAATTCAGAACCTATAATCTGGTGACAAATAATAGACCAGGGTATTTAAAAATAGGACAAAGAAAATAATTAATGTTTTAAAACAATAAAACCACAAGAAGGAAATAGTTAAGATAGATATAGTTAAAGGTTTAGTTTAGTTTAGAAATTGTTAAGGTTTTGTGTAAACAAAATCAGTCTTTTAGTGATACTAATACTCAATTAGATCATGCATTTGACATGGGAGCTTCTTATAAAGTGGGTGGTACTGAAGATATCATAAAAATTCAGGCATGTTTTTCAAGCAGCTTACAATGCGCCATGGAATTCCTCAGGAGTCACAAACTATGTGGCCTCGAGGCTAATCTATTTGGTTAGAAAATTTAAGAAACAAAAGCATCAGTTGTTGAATTAAAAACATCTCAGAGGCAAAGAGAAAGAGTGTGGGTAAATGAAGCTTATATCTTTTTTTTAAAATGAGAAATAAACCAAATATTCTCTACCAGTCTCAGTGTAAGTTAATCCATCAACACAGCACTAGGCTATTATCTTCCCTTTGTCAAAGTACAAAGGTGCAAGCTAAGTGCAGTAAAATTTGCTTTTGGAGACTGGCATGTGACATCTCTGCCAGGCTGTGTTATGAAGTAAAAAGTCATCCCCTAGGGACAGAATCAAATCCATGGGATTTAAAGCCAAGCAAACCTCAGAACAAACACATAGGCTAGTCTGAGATGTACCCAGCTCGCTGACAGCAACCTGTGTGGGCACACCAAAGGTATTCATAAGAGTGGGGCAGGCTGCATGAACCACACTGACCAGTTTCCACATTCCCAGAACTTCCCTGAGTGACTGTCATGTATTTCCTGTTTGCTGGAAGTCGATCTGTGGTCACCTCTACGGGTGTGGCACTCACTCAAACATTCCCTTGCTCCTTTCCATAGCGGATACTCCTCAGGCACACTTTATGAGCTCACGGTCTGCACAGCCTCTGGCTCCCTGATACCCAGGGAGGAATGATGTCACCCATTTTCCAACAGATTATTTCCTTGAGCCAGTGTTTCAACACTATTCCTGCTGGCAGAACCAACCAGCCTTCTAAGCACCAGGGGAGCAAAAAAACCATGAAAAGAGACTTTTCTTTACCCTTTAGAGTGGACCAGGTTTTAGCGAGGTGAATGGGAGCGCCTCCCTTCCCTAGGGAATGCCGCTGGCTTGGGACAAGGCAGCCCTTGTTCATGCGTATTAGGAAGGTGCAGACCTACCATCGCTGCTTCCCCGGAGAACTACATCTGGCGAAGGTGTCTGGCGGGAGCGGGAGCCAAAGGAATCTAGGCTGTCGAAGGAATCATCTCTGCCGTGGCGCGGAGGAGACAGGGAGTCGCTGCGCTCCGAGTCCCAGCAGTCGATGTAGCCACTGTCCCGAATGCTACGCTTGGGGCTCTCAATGTCATCTGTCTCCTGCGCCAAAATAAATCAAAAGGATCATAGGCATTAGGGACAGAAGAGCAGAGCCTACAATATCGGGAAACTGTCTCCAGCGGTGTCTGAAAATCCTTTCTGCAGTCAGGGTGAGAAAGGCTTTGACAACCAGTTATTGAATGCATTATCATCGACAAGGCAGCACTTCATCCCCAGCCTTCCCAGACCCTCACTTTCCCAATCAGAAAATCGCACCCAAAAAACCCCTCATCCCCCCCACCCCGCCCCAGTAACTTACACTGCAGAGTTTCCAAAAGGAATGAAAGAATATATGAAACTGAAGTTTGATTCACAAGAGCGCAACAAGAAAGGAAAAGAAGAAAAGAAAACAGACACAGTTAACCTGGCAGGGTCTTTCAGAATCCATAGCTGCATGTCTGTCCTGGGACCAGTCCCGGGTTTAGCTTGCAGCTGCTTCTGTTGACGCTATCTGGCAAACACATGCAGCATTGGGTGTCCGCAGCAGAATGAATTCAGTAAAATCCTGGAGTTGCACGCTTCGAACTCCTTCTACCTTGCAGGGAAATTCCTGCTCTGAAAGAGAGCTATCTTTCCGAGGCAAAAACTTTTTTTTTTCAAAGTCAATGAAAAATATGCAAAATGCTTTTCCTGATGCCTCAGAAGAATCCAGGCATGCTCTCACTCTCTTGGCCAGCCCTTGGAGCCGGGGGAGCAGAAAGCACTTGTGGCTGACCCACATGTTCAGCGCAGTGAGAACAATGGCCGCCTTTGACAGCCCGTGATTATAAATTCTTTCCAGCGCAAGCAGCACATACTAAAACACTGAAACTCCAGCAGAAGAAAGGTCAGTCAAAGCCATCCTCACCCTCTTATTATAAGCAAAGCCTTGTTCCTGCCAGTGCCTCCGCATTAATTACAATCGTTCAGGCTGACGAAAACAAAAATAACTCCAGTCACTCAAAGATAAACCTCAGTTTAATCTCCCCCAGATTGTGGCTGGAAATCAGGGCTATGGATGACATTGGCAGGGGCGCATGCTCTCATCTGCAGAGACTGGAATATTGCACTGTGTTTCCTGGGATGTTCAAGAAGGTCCCCTCCACGTGCCCAATAGAAAGAACAAATAAATATTCTCCGTGCTAATGATTTGGGCAGCTGACTGGATTAATAAAGCCTGCTGAATGCCTTTGGTAGGAAACTGCTTAGGGATCAATTATCTCCAGATTCTCTGTATCACTGCAGCAGGATATATTGGAAAGAAGGGCTGGGGGCTAGATTGTGTGACTGATATTTACATGTCATGCACCCGTTTTTGCATAAAAAGCTTGGAGTGGGAGAGAGCAGAAGAGCCAGGTGAAGAGCAGAGCCAGGAAGTCTTCATCTGAGGATACAATGGTTGCTCCTAAGGCAGAGGTGGTCCTCAGTGCCCCAGTGAGAACTGCCCACGTGATCCTTGGGGACAAGACAGCAATTCTGGTTATGGAGATTAAAGCAGTTTACCTGTGGTTCAACCAGAACTTAAACAAAAGTCAGATCTGACTAGCTGGAAAAGGGAAGAACTCATGACTAACTAAAAAGTTTCGATCTAAATTGGAACTAGATTTGAAATTAATTTCTTTGGAATACAGGTAATTATCTTGGATTTTTTAAAAAAATTTATATTCTCTTAAGAATAGACCAAATGACAAAAAAAGTGAAATCACTTTCACTGAGCACTGACAATATGTTTGCAGTTCTGCTTGATAGGTTGGCAGCTTTCTGGCACTGCTCATTAAATCCTCACAATGCCCTACCCTACCCGTCCCCAGGATGTAGTAGTCAGAGTTGTTTTTTAAGTACAGAAAAGTGAAGAATCAGAGAGATCGGGGCCCAACACACAGCCTAAAGTTCTGAGTGCAGGTTTTACACACACATGGCCCTGAAAGAAACAGGTTTCCAGGAGCAACCTCTGATGAGCACAGAGATGGGTGCAACAATATGGAACTCTGTCTCCGAAGCCCAACTAGTAAAACATGGCAACGAGCTACCATCAGCACAGTTTCTTTCAGCTACTGGCCAGTCCTACATCCTCCAATTTTTGGAAGGATGTAAAGCCTAAATCCTATTTGGGACTCCAGCCTAGATGGAATCCCTCTGCTTATTTCCACTGAAATTATTGAACTAGAAATATTGTTAAGGGGTTTCATCCTGGCTCCACTCCTTATCATCTGTGGACCTTAGGCAAGTCATCACATCACATTAAGAGCAACAATCCTGGGAAATGGCAGACATTCAGAAAAAAAAAATGCATCATACATGAAGAGCTAAAGAAGTGTTTGCTAAGGATATCGTTACTATATCCTTATAGTAATTAGATCCATCCAGATCCCCAATTTTCCAGTAGGTTGGCACTCACACCCACTATAAGAGGCCGCATAACCTCTTATAGTGTAGGTCGCCCTCTCAGAGAACCCGGCAAGCTACCGAGAGTATCCTGTCTGCACGGCAGAGCCTCACAAGCTCTCCACAGCATATTCGATATGCCAAAAATAGTAACAATGATGGGTCTCATTCCCCTGACTCTGAAAGAGCCTCCAATGTGGCACCGTTGGGAAGGACGAGTAAATCAATAATGGGATGACAGTGATACAGTGATAATTATTAGTATAAGGTTATGATCACTACCGTATATTTGGATGTCATGCATAAATCCTATAGGATTTATAAATGGAGTTAAGGGCATATAGATTTCTATATTCATGCTAATGCTCTCTTATCTTGTTCTCTGTATTTATCTTGCAAATACCCTGGATCCTCTTTCCAATCAGAGCAGTGGGCCTCAGGGTCCTGGACTTCAGGTCCATCTAAAAATGACACAGTTTACAAGCTGCTGGATACAGCATGACAAAAGTCCTCAAAGAGGCTCTTATAAAAGCCTAAATTGTAGCCCCATAGCTCTTCCCTGCAAACCACAGGAAAACAGAAAGCAAGAAAGAGAAAGTCAACAAGATTCTTGGAGCGAGAGCTGCCTTCTTACAGTTCACTATGGGAAAGAAAAACAGACCCACTCTGTTCACAGCTGCGCAGACCACTTGGGAGGAAGCTCCCAGCAGATGAGAGCGGAAAGCCCAGTGGCAGTGCCGGCCATGAAACATGAAAGCCAGGCAACCTGCAATCACCCTTGGTCAAGTGGGTTGCTTGAAGCCATGGGGTAAAAACAAGAGGCTGGTTCTTCATCCACAAATGCAGAGGATGGGCATGAGCTAGGAGACCCATTTTGCCTCTCAGTTCACCAATTCACCTCTTGCCAAGCCACAGAAAAGATAAGCCCACACAGAACCAAGTAGAGACAAAATTCGCCTTTCTTGCAGTGGGGGAGAGGAGTCTTTGTTCTAGGATCAATGCTTTTCATCTACAGGCCCTGGAATCTTCTACAGCGAGCACTCGAGGAAGAGGGGAACAGACTCAACCATTATTTGCTCTAGTAAATGTGTGTTCATGAACAGGGTGAGAAATACCAGCTTCCAGGATGGTCTTTGGATTATTTCATTCATCTGGTCTTTTCTTAGGCTCCTTTTGTCAGAGATAATGAGAACCAGCTCGGGTTGGTGGATGACTTATAGTATCGGAGAAAATCCAGATGCCTCTGTTTTACCACTCAACATTTTCTGCTGCTTCTATGATTTATAAGGTGACTAAATCCTATTTGGGAGTGTTTTCGGGTTCTACTTTTCCATGATCACCCCTCTCCACACTGCCCCTCCTCTTCTCTGGTGAGGCAGCAAATCATCCTGCAGATATTGGCGGTGGCTGGACCTCTGCAGGAACAGTTCTAGGGCTGGGACATTGAATCTGTTGAAATCAATCAATGCCCAGTTCTCACAGGTCTTATGCTCTAGTGGGGAAGACGCCTTCCCCGCTTCAAAATTTAAAAAGTCAACAGAAAAACATTATGAATGCAAAGATGGGTCATTAGTGTGATTTAAAAAAAAATTCAAGCAGAATTAAGAACCCATTAGAAGTTGACAATGGTTGCTACTTTAGGTGATGTTCTTTGTTCACACTTCACATTTCCCCCTCTTGATTCCTGTTCTGTAACACTCCTTATCTCCCACTCTAGTGCTTAGGTCAACAATAACACCTGTTTACCCATAGTCCAATTTCAGGGATACAGGCCCCACCTGAGATCATTCAAAGGGATTAGTTTGATGGAGCCAGTAGGTGGGAGAACTTTGGTTTCTCTGGGACCACACCTGGAAGCGGCCTCTTTTCCCCTGCTGAAGGGGAATGTTTTCAGGGGAGCCAAGAATCGAGGAATGAAACAGAAAGGAAGACCCTTGACTGCTGACTTTCTCCTTCTAGTCCCCGAGCTTTGTTTCTCATTCTTCTCACTTTGGGGGCCACGCTCACTGGTACTCAGGGATTATTCCTGGCTCTCTGCTCAAGGATCTCTCTAGGCAGTGCTTGGAGGACTACACTAGTGCCAGAGATTGAACTGGTGTCGGTCATGTGCAAGGCAGATGCTTTATCACCTACGTTATCTCTTTGGCCCACCCCTGAGATTTCTAGGGCCACCTCATCTTTGTGGTTGTTCCTTCGATTGTTTTCTCCCTTTGCTCAGCTCATGTGTCATATGAGAGATGGTGCATGTCGTTCAGTGAGAGGCCAACGTCACTTCGCTTTCATGGACCCTTTTTTTTTTCAAAAAAAAAAACAACAACCATATAACAGCAACTTGCTGTGACATTTACTCCATGAAGTGTTCCCATCTATAATATAGAACATCACAAGTTGCAACAGAGGAATGATTTTAAATATCTTCTCATGAACTGGAAAAATGACCATAAACTATTTCTGGTCAGCCTGCACCATGAAAGAAAACACTTCCATTTCAAATATATTTTAACTTTTCTCCACAAAGAGAAGATATCCCTCCCTATCTCTTCTCCATTTTATCTCCACCACAAACACCCACAGTTTTTATCTGAAATATCTTCCACTTTTTCCATGTTTTCCCTTGCATCGAGGAAGGCCTGTGTGACCGAGTGCAGGTGTACAGAACGTCAGAGAGGTGGGGAGGGTATGACTTTTCAGAAGGATATAAAAAGGGTCTTTCTCCCCCCCCCCTCGTTTCTTTCTCCTGGTGCAAATAATAGTGAAAGTTTCTGTCTGTGCCGGAACAGAACATGGATTGAGGATGGTGAATAAAACAGACCCCAGGAGCCCTAGCCTATTTTGATCACAGAATCCCTCTTTCAGTCTTGGGTTGTTCAAGTCCAGGTCACATTCCTCTGAGTTAGAAATGAAATTTCAGGAGTGAGCGACAGCACAGGAATTGTGGTAGTTGCCTTGAATGTAGCCAATCCCAAATCAATCCTGGTGCCATGCAGTCTAAAAGCATCATTCTACCCATGGGTCATCCTACTGAACCGCTGATAGGAGGCCCAGGTTCCCTCAGCACCACTTTAGAGCCCCCCAAATTAAATTGTATCTTAGTTAAGCCACTGCTTGAGCTTTCTACATTTCCCATCTGAACCTGACCCTAACTAATATATTGAAATGATATATATTCTAGGAAAACTAATATTTACAAGTACTGGCTAGACTTGCAAAGTCCATATCAATCACTGTCTATTTTATACAGAGGTTTGGGAGCAGCACAGCTGGATATTTTAGTTTAATTATGCTTTGCTTAGTGATGTCAACCCCAAGACATTTGAAGTAATTTCCTGTCTCAATAAAAAGGGAAGTTGGTAGCGTTGAGAAATCAACAGATTAGAGAAGAGTTGAAGAGTGTAAGAAATGTCATTAAGGAGACTGAATCAGATTTTAAGGAAAATCAGCAGAGATTTAGTTTCCTTTCCTTAGTTTTATTTTCATGTGTTTATTTTGGGGGGAATTTGTGGAGGTCACACGTTGTGGTATCCAGGGACTACTCCTGGCTCTGTGTTCAGTGGGTAGCTCCTGGCAGGGCTCAGGGAACATGTAATACTGAGATTGAACTGAGGTGCAAGGCAAGTGCCTTAACCATTTATTCTCTCTCTTCTGCTCCAAGGCAAGGTTTGTAAATAGGTGTGTGTGTGTGTGTGTGTGTGTGTGTGTGTGTGTGTGTGTGTGTAAGATAAAGAGAGTGAGAGAGAGAGAAAAAGAGAGAGGAGAGAGAGAGATCAATCGATTATGATCCAAACCAAAATTTAATGTAAAAACAGCAAACATTGGGGCTGGAGTGATAGCACAGCGGGTAGGGCATTTGCCTTGCATGCAGCCCGACCCGGGTTTGATTCCCAGCAACCCATATGGTCCCCCGAGCATGGCCAGGAGTAATTCCTGAGTGCATGAACCAGGAGTAACCCCTGTGCATCGCAGGGTGTGACCCAGAAAGCAAATAAATAAATAAAAATTTAAAAAAATTTTAAAAATAGCAAATATTTAGACTTTGCAAACTAAACCAAAATTTACCTTTGTATTTCCTCAAAGAATGGTCAGATGAAACAATAATGGATAAGCAAGAGTTAAGATGAAAACACAATGTGTTGTGTTTGATTGAGGGATTGTGTTTGTTTTATTTTTTAAAGGAATTTAGCGTACAGAGTTTTGTTTATTTGTATTATAACCAAAATGAAAGCTTTGCCCATGTATAAATATACAAGCCACACTTACTCAAGCTGAATGTGAAGAAAAGCATTAGGACTATTTGCTTAAAGGGAAGAAGAATTTATTTGGAAATTGGGGGGGAAATTCTTGATTTTACCATTAAAAGAAAAATTGTAAAGTACTAACTTTCTGAAGGAGGGCTTACTAGTTCATTTAGTTTTCCTGTTAGAGAAGTATGGAGGAGGATTGCCTTAATTAATCATGCTGAATTATGGGCCTTATCCCAAGTCCATGGATGCCAATGTTTACAAATAAACTAACAATTCACTGGCGTGGACTGGGTGGGGGTTTTTCTGGGCGGGGGGGGGGCGGTAATAACATATCCTAGTGCTCTGTACAAGTTAATATCTCTTTGCTAAATCCTTCCAATGTATGTGCATGCAGGAACATTGCACTGTTTCTTTGACAAGTTTCCATTTTAGGTGGGTTGTTCTCATCACTATATAAACAAAGCTCTAAAGATGGTACAAAATGTTTTCCAAATTTCGAGATCATTCCAATACAAAGGACGTAAAAGGCATAGCCTAGAAGAATGTGTTTCACTGTTCAGAGCCTGTTCTGAGTAGAGGCCTATGCAAGAACTTGGCTGACTCAACCTCTCCCACACCAAGATCCTGATGGGTAAGCAGAGAGATCTTTAGGACAAAAATGCAGGGCAAGTCTTCAGTTTAGAATAAGATGGCATTGTCTCATTCCAGCATCCAACCACTGATATCGTTAGCATCCAGAGCCTTACACTGATAGATGAAAGTTGCTCTTTCGGAATTCATGTTGGCTAGAGTTCGGCTGTCCCATTCTCCAGTGGGCATCCCAATTGAGGTCGGTGACAGACAGGAGGCAAAAGATGATGAGGGTTGTTTACTTGAGGGCATATTTGGCTCACACAATCCCACCTCACAGAGTTCTAAGGATCTTAACAACATGCAAAATGAGTTTCACCATATCTAAACCCTGAGGAATAGAAAGAAAAGCCAGGTTACCTTTCTCAGCTGAGTCAGCAAGCCTTCGAATTCTTTCAGGTTCAGCGTTGCTCCGCTGTAGAAAGTGCAGCTGTTTGCTGCTTTTCCCAGCCAGTATATGGTTACCAGTACCTGCAGGACAAACCCATGCACACAGTAGAATTTTTTCCTTCAGAATTACTTCTGAATGTGACTCCCCCCTCCACTCTTCCAAACAGTAAAGCAAGATAGAGAGAATACACACCCCACTGGTGTAAGAAAAAACACCTCCCAGAAGGTAAGCATCAATTGCAAAACCATTTGAATAAGAACCCAACACTTTATCATTTTGCACAAACATGATTCAGGTGAAAATAAGACTCTTTTTTCTTAAAAAGAAGTTCACTAATAAGAAAGTCCACCTATAAGACAGCAAGAAAGAAAATACAAATTTTCTAAAATTATCCTCGTTATAGGAAGATTTCACAATTGGAAAACCAAACTTTTCAAAAACCCTGGAGTCTTTATACCTAAATAAGTGATGAAAGGGATAGTCAGTTTACTTTGAGAAAGAGGCTTTGAAAGACCAATGATTTCTACTTCTGGGCAGAGAGGGTCTGCTAAGACCAATGGTAAAATCCCAAAGGAGTCACAAAGCTTAACTAGTGGTTCTCAGCACTAGATCAACACAATAGATCAAATTCAAATAAGAAGAAAGCAACAGAATGAAGAATACAACCTGCAGATTCTGAGCTTGGCACTAGTTAGAGGTCCATTCTTAGCCTGGACAAGGATGCTGCCAATTCGACAATCTTGCACGTTAAAGAATGCCTATGAATATTCAATGCTCTGCAGATGGAGTACTAGATTATTTTTTTTTTGCCTTTGCAAAGGAGCTCTCCACAGAACCAAACGCCTTCACATGGCCTCTCCCATAAAAAAACAGCAGGGATTGGCCGTAGACGATCTTCTTAAAACTGAATTATAGGAAACTGGAGCTTGTAGAAAAGCAAAGACTATTACTTTATTTTCACATTAGGTCTTAACTGCTTCAGTAAAAAGAGTATATATCATACCTCACTCCACTTGCTAGGCCAGAAAATGCTTTGGTCAATATGATATGTACACGTGTGGCACATATGGCAACCAGCCCAAAATCTGGTCCTGTGTATCAATATTCTGAGGTGATTCAGTGTTCTACCTTTGTAGGAAGAGTTTACTTCTGGAATTCTTCAAAACCTCCAGTTCTTTCTTAACTGACTGCATACAAATAAATTTACAGAGAACAGACAATTCTGAGGTTGTCACAACACTTGTGTGCCTAAAATATAAAGTTCTCTTGAAAGGTATCAAAGAGGAATGGAAGATAATGTGTTTGAGACTATGGGTTCTTTATATGCTTAAAATTACATGGTAAAGAAGGGTATCCACCCCTCATTCTCTAGTGAGAGAGGAAGTAGATAACAAGACCATAAATTACAATGCATCCTGGAAACCAAGAAAAAGGAGATGGTCAGAGTTCATCTTTAAGTTGTAGAGACAGGAAGTTATTTCTAACGTTGATCAATGTAAACTTGAAATTAAAGATTATGAACACACGCTGTCCTTTGAAAGTAAGTTTTAATTTCAGAAAGTTGAGTTGGGAAGTGCTTGTAAAAATTCCAAAGATGAACAGACAAAAAAATACAAACAGTATGTATAGGGCCATGGCAGTTAACCCTGTTCGTATTGTTCTGATCTCTCCCCAAAGCAACTACTTAATTTGATAACTCCATCTGTGCTGATCAACGAGAAGGAGCTAACGTTAGGGCTAAGAGAGAACACTTTGTGTTTAAGAAACCAAATCACAAACCAAGAACAAGCATCCATTTGTTTCCTTCTGGATTAAGCATTTCTCTAATTAAAATGAACACCTCCCCACAATCTACCATTTTAATTTCTTCATAGTTGTTAATTATTCTATCAGAGGAACATATACCTGTTTTCTAAAAAGAACTCTTTGCAGAAAGGCATTGAGCTGAAGACCCAAGTTTTACACTTGAATCATTAAAGTCAGTAGGAAAAAGTTTGCCAAGTGAATTTAACACACTTACGTTTTTCAGCTTCCTGCTCCAATCAAGGCTCCTAAAGAAAAAGAAACATGATTAGAATAGCAGTTTTTTTCACTTTGATTTCCACTCAAATGTCCCTAAGATTTACTTAAAAGTAACTAACATGTAAGATCAGGGAACTCAAATTATTCAGGGCTTTGACTAGAGATTTCAGGCACCAAATGAAATCATTTAAGCAAACAAAAACATAGAGGAAGAAAGTTCCATAAAAAAGATGAATGCTTTGTAACATCTGGAAAATGAAGAATTCCAGTGAAAAGTGGGACTGTTTTATTTGTATTTTCAGAGCTTAAATGTTAAAGTAAAAAATTTGCCTTGATTACAGACCACTGTCAAATTGAAATCTGATTGTTCTTCTACAATCTTTTTCATGCAGCATTTTGTTAATGTTCTGAAACCTTCACTAAACAGACCTAAAAATATATGTACAAAAGGCACCACTATCCAAATATTTGTTTCTTTCTGCTATGGACATCAATTAGTTTTGGGAATTAACCATAAACAGGAAAATGTGCATCTTATGTTTGAATATATATACACAAATTTTAAATATGCATAAGTGTTTATTTTCAAATTATAAGCTCCAAAAGTGATTTAGTGGTACTTTCTAAAGATCGACATAGTGAAATATAAAAATTTCTCCCAAATTATGCCAAAGTTTTTGAAATGAGTAAACAAATAAGTAGCAGAAGAAACACTTTTTTTCCTACAGTAATTTTAGTTGAGACTAAAATTACTAAAGCAGAAGGGAAAGAAGAATGTAAGAGTGTAATATAAATCAGTCAAGAATTCCTTCAGTTTATTTAGAGCCTGATTACACTCTTGCTACATATTCTGATTTACTATGACATATTTTTTTACACAGGCAGAAATTAATTTATTTATTCTTTTCTAATTGAAATAGCATTGGTTTCCATCATTGTGTATGTTTCAGAAATGCTTTTTCACACCTGTTCAAAAGTAAGCTGTCACACTGCGTCTACAATCACCACATCAATATCTTTTCATTGACGACTTTTGGACCCTTTCCCCCTTTCAAACCACTGCATCTTTCCCCCTGGCAACCTAAGTTGTGTGGTTCTACTTTAAAGGTTAGTTTTTTTTTTTAGGTCACAGTGCTATTTATTTTTTTGTCCTCAGTGCTTCTTTTTATTATTATTATTTTTATTAGAGAAACACCATGAGGTACAGTTGTAGACTTACAAATTTTTGTGCTTGGGTTTCAGTTATATAATGTCGAGCACCCAGCCCCTCCACCAGTGCCCATTCTCCACCTCCAGTGCTCCCAGTATCCCTCCCACCCCCTATCCCTCCCATCCCATCCCGCCTCTGTGGCAGGGCATTCATTTTTGTTTTCTCTCTACTTTTGGGTGCTGTGGTTTGCAAAAGAGGCATTGACTGGTAATTATGTTTGGTCTATAGTCTACTTTCAGCATGAATCTCTCATCCTGGGAGAATCATCCCAACACCCTTTATTTGGTGCTCCCTTCTCCATCTGAGCTGCCTTTCTCCATAGCATGTGTGGCTGGCCTACAAGCCATGGAGTGAACCTCCTGGTCCTTATTTCGGCTATACTTGAGTGTTAGTCTCCTATTTTGTTACTTTATATTTCCCAAATGAATTCAATCTTTCTATGTCTGTCCCTCTCTTTCTGACTAATTTCACTTAGCATGATACTTTCCATTTAGTACTACTTGTATGGAAATTTTATGACTTCATCTTTTCTAACAGCTGCATAGTATTCCATTGTGTAGATGTACCAAAGTTTCCTTAACCAGTAATCTGTTCTCAGGCACTCAGGTTTTTTCCCCAGAAGCCCGGCAAGCTACCGAGAGTATTCGATATGCCAGACACAGTAACAACAAAGTCTCCAATGGAGACGTTACTGGGCCCGCTCGAGCAAATCGACGATCAACGGGAGGGCCTTTTACTTTTTATTGGCTACTGTGAATAGAGCAGCAATGAACATAGAAGTGCAAATGTCATTTCGACTGTACCTTTTTGCCTCTCCGGGATATATTCCCAGGAGTGGTATAGCTGGGTCAAATAGGAGCTCAATTTCTAATTTTTTGAGAATTGTTCGTGCTGTTATCCAAAAGGGTTGAACCAGTCGGCATTCCCACCAGCAGTGAAGGAGGGCCCCTTTCTCGCCACATTCACGCCAACACAGGTTGCTTTTGTTCTTTTGGATGTGGGCCAGTCTCTGTGGGGTGAGATGATATCTCATTGTTGTTTTGATCTGCATCTCCCTGATGATTAGTGATGTAGAGCATTTTCTCATGTGTCTTTTAGAAATTCGGATTTCTTCTTTGGAAAAGGTTCTGTTCATTTCATCACCCCATTTTTTGATGGGGTTAGGTGTTTTCTTCTTGTAGAGTTCAACCAGTGCTCTGTATATCCTTGATATCAACCCCTTATCAGATGGGTATTGGGTAAATACCCTTTCCCATTCTGTAGATTGTCTTTATATTCGGGTCACTGTATCTTTTGAGGTGCAGATGCTTCTTAATTTAAGATAGTCACATTTGTTTATCTCTGTTTCCACTTGGTTGGTCAGTGATTGTCGTCTTTGAAGATACTGTTAGCCTCAATATTGTGGAGGGATTTGCTGACCTTGTCTTCAACGTACCTTATGGATTTTAGCCTGATATTGAGATCTTTAATCCATTTTGATCTGACTTTTGTGCATAGTGTTAAGTCAAGGTCTAAGTCCATTTTTTTTGCATGTGGTTGTCCAGTTATGCGAGCACCATTTGTTGAAGAGGCTTTCCTTGCTCCACTTCACATTTCTTGCTCCCTTATCAAAGATTAGATGTTCATACATTTGGGGTTGTCTGTATGGATATTCCACCCTGTTTCATTGGTCTGCAGACGTACCTTTGTTCCAGTACCATGCTGTTTCAATTATTACCACTTTGTAGTAGAGTTTGACATTGGGGAGAGTCATGCCTCCCCACGTTCTTGGGATTCTTTTTCCTAAGAACTGCTTTAGCTATTCGTGGGTATTTGTTGTTCCATATGAATTTCAGGAGTGCTTGATCTATTTCTTTGAAGAATTTCATGGGTATCCTTATAGGGATTGCGTTGAATCTGTATAATGCTTTCGGGAGTATTGCCATTTTGACGATGTTAATTCTTCCTATGCACGAACAGGGGATATGTTTCCATTTCCTCGTGTCCTCTTTTATTTCATGGAATAACGTTTTGTAGTTTTCATTGTAGAGGTCCTTTACCTCTTTGGTTAGGCTGATTCTGAGGTATTTGATTTTCTGGGGCACAACTGTGAACAGGATTATTTTTTTCATGTCACTTTTCTCTCTCATTATTTGCATATAGGAAGGCCATGGATCTTTGGGCATTGATTTCATAGCCTGCAACTTTACTGTACAAGTCTATTGTTTCTAGGAGTTTCTTGATAGAGGATTTAGGATTCTCGAGATATAGTATCATTTCATCTGTGAATAGTGAGAGCTTGATTTCTTCATTTCTATCTGGATGCCTTTAATGTCTTTTTCTTGCCTAATCGCTATTGCGAGTACTTCCAGCACTATGTTAAATAGAAGTGGTGTTAGTGGGTATCCTTGTCTTGTCCCTGATCTTCGAGGAAAGGCTCTTAGTTTTTCCCCATTGAAGATAATGCTTGCCATGGGTTTGTTGTAGATGGCTTTGACTATATTGAGGAAAGCTCCTTCAAAACCCATTTTGGTGAGAGTTTTCATCATAAATGGGTGCTGTATCTTGTCAAAAGCTTTCTCCTTGTCTATTGTTATGATCATACGGTTTTTATCTTTTCTTTTGTTGATATGATGGATTATGTTGATTTATTTCTGAATGTTAAACTATCCTTGCATCCCCAAGATGAAACCTACTTGGTCGTGGTGTATGATCTTTTTGATAAGTTGTTGGATTCTATTTGCTAATATTTTGTTGAGGATCTTCGCATCCGTGTTCATCAGGGATATTGGCTTACAGTTTTCTTTGTTGGTGGTGTCTTTGTTTGCTTTAGGTATTAGGGAGATATGTGACTCATATAAGCTGTTTGGGAGAGTTCCTGTTTTTTCAGTTTCCTGGAAAAGCTTGAGAACTGGCAAAAGGTCTTCTTTGAATGTTTGGAAGAATTCACCAGTGAATCCATCTGGGCCTGGGCTTTTGTTTTTGGGAAGACTTTTGATTACCGCTTCAATTTCCTTGATATGAATGGGTCTATTCAGGTATCCCAAGTCTTCCTGGTTCAATCTTGGGAGATTATAGGAATCCAGGAATTTATCCATTTCTTCTAGGTTCTCTTATTTTGTGGCATAAAGACTCTCAAAGTAGTCTCTGATGATCTAAGTTTTATTATTTCTTTCCTTCGGCCAATTTTGGGTTCCTTTTGTTGGTCTTTTTCTAAGATCTTGAGCTGTGTGGTTAGGTTATCTATGTAGGCCCTTTCTTCTTTCCTTAGGAATGCTTGCAACGCTATAGATTTTCCTCTTTGCACAGCTTTAGCTGTGTCCCATAGGTTCTGGTAGCTCGTGTCTTCATTCTCATTTGTTTCCAGGTATTTTTTTATATCATCTTTGATTTCCTTCCTGACCCACTCATTGTTCAACATTGAGTTGTTTAATTTCCAGGTGTTTGATTTGTTTCTCGATGTCTTTGTGTAATTCGCTTCTATCTTGAGTGCATCGTGATCTGAAAAGATTGTTGATACTACTTCTATCTAGTTGATTCTATTGAGGTATGTTTTGTGGCCTAGCATGTGGACTATTTTGGAAAATGTTCCATGTGCACTGAAGAAGAATGCGTATTATTTCTTTTTGGGGTGTAAAGCCCTGTATAGGTCTATGAGCCTTCTCTCTTCTATTTTTCCTTCAAAGTCAATGTTTCCTTGCTGAGTTTTGTTCTTGCTGATCTCCAGAGGTGATAAGGTGATGTTGAAGTCTCCAACTACTATTGTTTTGCTAGCAATGTCCTCCTTAAAATCTGTAAGCAGTTGTTTTAAGTATTTAGCTGTTCCCTTCTTAGGTGTGTATACATTTAAGAGTGTGATTTTTTTCCTGTTGTACGTATACTTTGATAAATAGAAAATGGCCTTCACTGTCCCTTCTAATCTTTTTCAACCTGAAATTTATGTTGTTGGATACTAGTATGGCCATCCCAGCTTTTTAATGGAGCTGTTTGCTTGCAGAATTGTTTTCCATCCTTTAACTTTGAGTCTGTGTTTGCTCTGACTGTTCAGATGTGTTTCTTGTAGACAGCAGGATGTTGGTTTCAGTTTCTGGATCCATTTTGCCACTCTGTGCCTCTTGATTGGTGCATTTAGACCATTGACATTGAGAGAGATTATTGTCATGAGGTTTTGTGCCATCTTTCTGTAGGGGTTGGTTGTGCTTATAAGTGTTTTCCTTCTTATATTTCAGGAGGCCCTTTAATCCTTCATTTAGATTTGGTTTTGAGTCTATGTAGTTTCTGAGCTGTTGTTTATCTACAAAATGGTGTATAGTTCCATCGAGTTTGAGTGAGAGTTTAGCTGGATAAAGTATTCTTGGTGAGGCATTCAGTTCATTGAGTTTTTTCACTATATCCCGCCATTGTCTTTGGGTTTGGAGGGTTTAAAAATACGGAACGCTTCACGAATTTGAGTGTCATCCTTGTGCAGGGGCCATGCTAATATTCTCTGTATCGTTCCAATTTTAGTATATGTGCTGCCAAAGCGAGGACTACTATGACATATTAAAGATGAGGTGAACAATTTTAATTCCATTGATATTTGAAAAATAGAACTAACATAATCAATATCTATAAAGGAGATAAATAAAATAAAAGGAACTTGAAAGAAACATTGGTCCAATTTAAATTTGATTGAGAGAACAGCTTCCTGTTTTCCCCTTTCAATAGAAAAAAATGTGTCATCTTCTTAGATTATTTCTCAATATTTTTTGTCTCATTTTGTTCTTTGGTTTTGGAACTAGGGAAACATGTGGTGCTAGGGATGAAACTTAGGTGCCTGCATGCACTCCAGCCCTGTGAGCCATCTTCCTTGCCCTGCTTGAGTTTTCTAAATTAAAGAGGCAGAAGAAGGGCTTCAGAATGCAATGAGAACATGCTTTACATGCAGGAGTCCTGGGTTTGATGCTCAGTCCACACCTGACAATGCTCACGATCCCTTGGGCACTGTCAGGTGTGGCCTGCCCCCTCACCCTTCCCACCTCAAAACAAAAAACAGATAAAAAGAAAAAAATTACAAAGTATCTGAAATGTTACTGGAGAGCAAATGAAGAGAGGAAATATGAAAGTTCTGTCTGCATTTTCAATCAAAGTCCACTGACAAACTGTGACCCGGTGGTAAAACACCACGCTTGGCCTGTGGAATAGAAGCCCATAAAATATTTGTTGAATGACTTCACTTACCAATCAATTATACGGAAATGCTTTCAGTGTTTTCAGAGATATACTCGGGAGTAATCCAAGTCTTTGCCCCTTTCCCTCCAGTTGTTTTACCTACCTGGAATGATCCTTGCTGACTTTCTTTCTTTCTTTCTTTCTTTCTTTCTTTCTTTCTTTCTTTCCTTCCTTCCTTCCTTCCTTCTTTCTTTCTTTCTTTCTTTCTTTCTTTCTTTCTTTCTTTCTTTCTTTCTTTCTTTCTTTCTTTCTTTCTTTCTTTCTCCCTCCCACCCTGAGCACAGAGCCAGGAATGGTCCCAAAGCATTTCTGGGTGCCCAACCCCCACCCAAATAAAAAAGAAAGAGACTTTAACTCAAAGGTATGAAGAGCATTCCAGAGGGGAACGCATTCTTATTTGTGTTAGGTAACACTTCTTCGTCCTTAAATTTATGTTGTCCAGAGAACTATCTCTCTGGCTCAATGAATAAATGACCAGATAGATGCTTTGGGACAGACATTTCTTATCCTTTCCCTAAGCACAAACTTTGTATTTTACAGTGAGATACATTTTACTATGTACTTTAATTTTTTGTTTTTTTCTGGTCCAAACCCAGTGGTGCTTATTCCTGGCTCTGCACTCAGGGATCACTCCTGACAGGCTAGGAGAACCATATGGGCCACAAGGGATCACATATAAGTTGGCTACATGAAAGGCAAGTACCCTCCCCACTGTGTTATCATTCAGGGCCCTTGAACTTTCATATAAAGATGACATTCTTTCCCAAGAACTTAGCCCCAAACATGGCTCACTGAGCAGACAAAGGAAACAGTCAAATAGTCGATGATCCATCTTCGAAGAACGTGACCATTAGTTACAAATATAAATGGAGAAAAGATTTCTCCATAATCTATTGCCCACTTTGCATAATAACCAGAGTTCAGATTTGTTTACCCACTTTGCAGTCTTCCAAAATCTTATACAAATGGCCAATTGGAGCCAAAGAAAGCTTTTTGTCTAATACACAGAGATTCTGTGCCTATGTCTCTTCTGCCTCTCTATTAAGTTTCACCTAACATTTTCTCTTCCTTAAGACTTTAATTCTATGGGCATGCTCTTTGCATTTCAAATAATTATGTTCAATCAGGAGGAAAATTGTATATAGAGGGAATTACAATGTGTTTTTTTATAGCTTGCTTTCTATAGTGTTACATTTTTATTTTATTTTATTAGGCATGACAAATTCTGGGCCTCTTAGGCCATACAAAACCGAAAACAAAGCATCAATGAGCTTCCCTGGAACATAAATCATGTGTTACTTACTTGACTGTTACTCTGTTGGATGTATCCTGTAGGTCACTTGGATCAAAAAGTTGAGATTCCTTCAGGCCAAGCTCTTTACAACCTCTCAAGAACAGGATAATATTGTCCTGGGAGGAAGAAAAAAATATTGATGTCTATCTAATTCTGTACTATCTTTATGAACCAGGTCCTCCTTCATAGTCAATTACTGGAGGAAAGTCAGATGTTATAGCAATGAGAATCACACATAACTCACAGATTGTTGGATAAATTTATACGTTGTTAGGACATGCTTGGAGTAACCAGAAACTTGAGTTTTCTAAACCCCATCAATTTTTCTCCTTTTCTTGACATAGTTATAGAAAACTGTAAGTGAAATATGGAAAATTTGAACTTATTATCTTTGGGGGAAACAACTCAAAAAACCAGTCCCAATCGCATCAACATTTTCATCATATTTTGTCACCTAAAATCTGGTTCCAAATTGTTTTGAAAATAGGTTCTACTATTATCATCTTCAGTAAGTCTTTCTCTTTAATTGGTCTTTTAAATTATACCCTTATCGATGAGTTTTGACATTTCTTGATGGGTTATAGCACTGTGGCACTGTCCTCCCATTGTTCATTGATTTGCTTGAGCGGGCACCCAGTAACGTCTCACAACAAATTGTGAGACTTGTTGTTACTGTCTGGCATATTGAACATGTCACGAGGAGCTTGCCACACTTTGCCGTGCAGGCAAGATACTCTCAGTAGCTTGCCGGGCTCTCCGAGAAGGGCAGAGGAATTGAACCCAGGTCGGCCATGTCGGCTGTGTGCAAGGCAAATGCCTTACCCACTGTGCTATCGCTCAGTAAATGTGGAAAAAAATCTAGGCTTAATCAGGTGTTAGAGGTAGTGAGGAGATAGGAAAACTTTTTGTTTGTTTTTAGGCCACAACTGGTGGCACTTGGGGGATACTCCTGGTTGAGTGTTCTGGGTTCATTCTGGGGGGATCACGTGGCACCAGAGATCAAATTCAAGCCTCTAGCATCCAAAATATATGTTTTAGCACATTGCGCTATTTCCTCAGACCAGTCTTCTGAAAATAACAAAAAAGATTCTCCTTAAAGCCAAAACAGTTTTTTAGCAGTTACGATTCACTTGAGATGGGCTGAACAGCAGTCACAACTAACAAGAAGAATTCAGGTCTTATCTGCTGAGAATGGCTACAAATATAGTTCTGGAAAAGACTGTAAATTGTGGGTCCTCCTTTGAAATACTGGGGTATCAGCAGTAGGTTCATCAGTTACAAATCTCTAACTGTCTTCTTTCTGAAAGACTTCTATCAAGCTAATTGCCCCCATCAGTTAATCAAAACTATAGGAGACGGATCAAAAATCAGCTCCAGGACCCAAATTGCTGTGAATACAACTGAACACTGTAAGAAAGATGTTCCAAAGAACCTGAAGTGATGTTGGTGGTTGCTGAATCACATAGTCACCCAAATGTGATTCAACAAAGGGAACAGAACAGCTAGTATTCCATAGTTAACCAGTATATATGCAGGTTTCTGGGATGATGTAGTCAAACTGCCAAATGCTGGTTCCTAGGCCCAAGATAATACAGCAGTTAGATAACAGAATTAGGTTTGATTCTAGCACATGCCAGGCATGTGCCCGACCCAGGTTTGATTTCCAGCACCACAGAGTGCCCCAAGCATTGAAGGGCGCAGCCTGGGAGGCCCCTCAGCACCACCTGGGGTAGCCTGGGTATCCCTGACACTGCAAATCCTGAGCACTATTGTATCTTGTGCTCCTGAGCTGAATTTACAGCCTTATTGGCTGAAAATCACTGATAGGATCCCTAGACCTCCAGGGCATTGCCTGCCCTCTGCCATTTTTTCCCTACATCTAAGTTTCATACGTACACAGACACAAACACACACAGACACACACAGACACACACTCACACAAAACCTTAATCACTTCACTTAACTTCCCGTTAGTCGTCGATTTGCTCAAGCGGGCGCCAGTAACGTCTCCATTTGTCCCTGTCGCGTGCTAGTGTAGCCCAATGGCATCTGTTCGCTCCGGGAACATGAAGGGCCTCAAACCGATCGTTCATGATCTTGACGAAGAAGTCTGACCATCTGGAAGGTGGGCGGCCACGCGGTCTTTTGACATCCCGTGGAATCCAGTCGGTAACAGCTCTAGTCCAGCGGTCGTCTTTAAATCTCATTACGTGACCAGCCCATCTGATTTTCGACACCTTGGCATATGAGACAGCGTCCCTGATTCTTGATAGTCGACGGATGTCAGAACTCCGGATTCTCTCTCTCATTTGAGTGAAACGTGATATTCCAAGCATAGCTCTTTCTATTCTTCTTTGGGAGACCTGAATAGCGTTCTCATCTTATTTGCGTAGGGCCCAGGTCTCTGAGGCATATGTTAATGCAGGAAGAACAGTGGAATCAAAGAGATGTGCCCGGAGCCGGAGGTTCTTCGTCCTCTTAGCTATTTCTTCGACGTTCTTGAAGGCATTCCAAGCCGCTCTCTTCCTCCTGCGCAGCTCGGGTGCCAGGTCATTTGTCATGTTGACCTCTCGACCTAGGTACACATAGCTGTTGCATTCGGAGATGGTCGTTCCATTGAGAGCGAATGGGGCGTCAGGAACAAGGCTGTTTCTCATAAACATTGTCTTCGTAAGATTCAGCTGTAGTCCTACCTTTCCACACTCACGGTCAAAGTCGGCCAGCATTTGTGCCGCTTGGCTGATGTTTGGTGTTATTAAAACAATGTCATCAGCAAAGCGGAGGTGGTGTAGTTGCCGACCATCTATCTTCACTCCCATTCCTTCCCATTCCAGTCGTCGCATGATGTTCTCGAGGGTGGCACTGAAGAGTTTCGGTGAAATGGTATCACCCTGCTGCACCCCTCTCTTGACTTCAACGATCACTTCTTTGTAGAATGGTGAGATCCTGGTAGTGAATCCGCAATACAGCTCACGGAGGATCCTGATGTATTGGGCTTGAATGCCCTGATTGGCTAGGGCTTCAATGACCGCTTCCGTCTCAACAGAATCAAAAGCCTTCTTTAAATCAATGAACGTTAAACAGAGCGGCATCTTGAACTCCCGAGAAACCTCAATGAGCTTGGTTATCGTGTGGATATGGTCGATGGTGCTGAATCCTTTGCGGAACCCTGCTTGCTCGCATGGTTGTCCTTCATCTAGTGTTCTGCCAATCCTATTTAGGATGACTCGAGTGAACAACTTGTAGATGACAGACAATAGGCAGATCGGGCAATAGTTGCCAATGTCATGGATGTCTCCCTTCTTGAACAGTAGTACGGTCCTGCTGGTTTTCCATTGGGACGGACCCTTGCATTCAGACAGGTAGCGAGTGAAGAGCCGAGCCAGTGTATTGATGAGTACTGACGGCAGGTTCTTCAGGTGTTCAGGTCTGACCTTGTCTGGGCCGGGTGCTGTTTGTTTCTTTACCGACAAAATGGCGTGTCGGATTTCGGAAGGGAGAACGTTGGGAACGACATATCCATCCTGTGGAATTTGGTATGTCGGCAAGTGGACATGGCTATCGAAGAGATTTGAGTAGAAGTCATGGATAATCTTCTCCATTGCCGTTCTGGAGGATGTGATGGATCCATCAGGACGTCGGAGGGCAGTCATTTTGGTCTTATAGTTGGCGAAGGACAGGCGGGCATTACGAATACTTTTCCCGGCTTCTGCCGCATCTACCAGTACTTCTGTTCTTCTCTCTTTGAGGTCTTCCTTGATCACATCTCTGCACTGCTTTGCGAGCTCAGACGTTAGCTTGCGGTTGCCTGAGGCATGCACCAAACCACGCTGGCGAATTAGCTCAAGAGTTTTCGAAGATAGGCAAAACCATAGCAAAACCATAGCAATAAAATGCTAACCTGTATACAGTTACACTTGATGCCTATCATTCTTCTAAGAGCTCTACCTGTAGTCACTCATCTAATCCCTGGGCAATTTTAGGAAGCAAGTAGCATCATTATTTTTCATTTCACAGAAGACCAATGTGAGGGACAAAACAATTAAGTACCTTTCCAAGGCCACAAAAACAGCAGGGGAGGAAAGGGCAAGACTACATGTTTTTTTGAGGCAACATGAGGCACGCAAGCAGTGAATCTGAGGCCAGCAACAAAAGATGCTGCTGCTATGGAGTCAGAGGTTAATCACAGAAGGCCTGGAGGTCACAGCTGTGGATGTTATCAGGGGGATGTAAGCTGATACATGAAATTGCCCAAATATAGATGGTTGGGGTTGATATTGGAAAGCAGACATTGTGGAGCAAGGACCTAATGAGGTACAATAAAAGACAATGGAGAGAAACTGCGAATCATTTCCACTCCAGTGGGAGGCTCATTGGGAGTGTCAGCTCTCCTGTGTCCCTGGAGTACTGCAGTAGGGAGATGTCAAATCACTCAGAGCATCTTTGTCACCACTCACATCTGTGCCCTACTCACACACGAACATTTGTAGACTGACAAGGAGCTAGCCACATCTGAAGTCTGTCTTCTGATCAGTCTCTGTTTTAATTACTTTGAATGCTTTTGAATGAGTGAACTTCTCCCATCTCCAGCATTTTAGCATTCTGCTTTCTTGGCAATCTATTTTTGATTAATTATTAACTTCTAAGCAAAGGAAGAAAAAGGCGGGGTAGTATACTGGGTTCTTTTGAAAGAAACAAGAGTTTCTACCCGTACACAGATGATCCACATTTATAGATATCATTTTTTTTTTAAAAAACCACCCATACTGTTGGGGCTGGAGTGATAGCATGGAGGGTAGGGCATTTTCCTTGCACGCAGCTGACCCAGGTTTGATCCCATATGCTCCCCCAGCATCACCAGGAGTAATTCCTGAGTGCAGAGCCAGAAGTAACCCCTGAGCATTCTGAGTGTGGCCCAAAAAGCAAAAAACAAACAAACAAGCAAACAAAAACCAAACAAACAAAAACCCCCTGTACTGTGCCAATATTTTAGTTGCTCAAACTCAGATGCTTTAGATCTATCTCCAATTGCTCCTTTTCAGTTAATTTTTTAAATCCTAAATTGCCTACCATGCATGTTCTAATACCTTCTAAACCTAGTTGAGTATCAAAGCAT